CTCCTGGGGTTGCTCTTTGTTTCTGACTCAGACACATGCATGTTTCATGCATTTAAGTCAGATCTATCTCTACCCTTTATGAAAACAAGAATATCTTCCTCCACTAAAGAGCCCTGGAGAAACTTATAAATTCTATTTGGCCTGGGCTGCTTGGCTGGTGGAGAGAGTCCCCCTTCCAGTTGGGACTCACCACTAAGCTGTCTTCTGGTGATATTTCAAAACTTAGGGAGCTCACTTTACTCCAGGACATGGGATATCAAGTGAGGCCAACCTTTAGAAAAGCAGTTTAGCCATCCCGCATGTGTCAATAACTTGAAAACCGTTCATGTGCTTTGATCCAGCCATCTTCCTTCTGGGAGTCTATGCTGAAGCGAATTATACGAAATTGCCATTCGGATATCTCTAGGCACCTCGAACCTCCTATTCAAAACTCTTGATTCTGACCTCAACCAGCTCCTCTGACTTTTCTCATCTCAGAAAATGACAACTCCATTCTGCCAGTTGCTTTGGCTCCAAACTTTAGAGTCCTTCTGAAATCCTCTCTTTTATTCACACTGTATTTATTTTGTTTTTATTTTTTTAAGATTTATTTATTTGAGAGAAGGGAGCAGGTGCAGAGGGAGAGAGAGAGAGAGAATCCCAAGTGGACTCCCCACTGAACGTGGAGCCCAATGCAGGGCTCCATCCCATGACCCCAAGATCATGACCTGAGCAGAAATCAAGAATCAGACACTTAACTGACTCAGCCACCTAGACGCCCTATCATCCTACGTTTTAAATGCACTAGAGAATACTGTTTATTCCATCTTCAAAATATATTAAGGATCTAATCACTTTTCCCCTTGTTCACTGCCACCTTTCTAGCACAGGTCACAATCCGCTGCGTCCTGAATTATTATTATTAACGCCTGCTTGTTCTCTTTGCTCTCATTCTTGCGCCAATACAGCCAGAATAAACCTTTTAAAATATGTCAGACTATGTCATTTCCCTGCTCAAAACTCTCCAAAGGCTTTTCCTCCCACTCAGAATAAAATCCAGGGTGTTCTTACCTTGGACTCCAAGACTGTATGATGGGCCACCAGGCTCTCTGGCCTTTTTTCTCTTTCTCTCGCTCCTCTCCAACCTTAGTGGTCTCCTTGCTCTTCTTCGAGCACAGCAAATACAGTCTCACCTCAGGGCCGTTGTATTCATGCTTCCCTCTTCCAGTTACAACCAGTCCCCCAAATATACACACAGATCCCATACTTGGAGGATTCTGTACAAAGGCCATGGAATCAGAGCCACTGACCTTGATGTAAAATAGCACCTTATATGAAATAGGTCACCCTTTCTCACTCTGCCATTTTCTTCACTAGCACTTGTTATTGATATAATCTAAAACATAAAAGAATGTGTTTCTTCCAGCCCAGAATGTAAACTCCACAAGAGCAAAAACCTTACCTGTCCTATTCCCTAGCATACATCCAGCTCAGTGGGTCCAAGTAATGCTCCTGGAAAGGAAGAGAATCATTAGCACAGAACTGGAAACAGATTTATTAACCACTCCCCCCTCCAAAGTAGACTTTTGACTTTTTATTTTATCATGAATTGGGTTCCAGCTTCTCTGCAATAGTGGAAACCAAGATCTTATAGACAGATTATCATCACTTTTTTTTTTGAACCATGTAAGAGCAAGTTGCAGACAGAATGCCTCATCACTACTTGATACTTCAGAGCAAATCCTCCCACAAGAACCTTCTTCTCAAATCGGAGGGAGAGACGAACCATGAGAGATGATGGACTCTGAAAAACAAACTGAGGGTTCTAGAGGGGAGGGTGGTGGGGGGATGGGTTAGCCTGGTGATGGGTATTAAAGAGGCCACGTTCTGCATAGAGCACTGGGTGTTATGCACAATGAATCATGGAACACTACATCAAAAACTAATGATGTAATGTATGGTGATTAACATAACAATAAAAAATTTAAAGAGAAAAAATAAAGAATATGCATTTAAGCGCAAAAGAAAAAAAAAAGAACCTTATTCTCATAGCTACAATATACACATCCAAACCAGGTAACCAGCACTGGGAAGACATTACCATCCAATCCACAGATTTCATTCAATTTTGGCCAACTGTTATATTTTTCCGTTCTGGTCCAGGAGCCAAACTAGGATCATTTGTTGCATTGAGTTGTCATGGCTCTTGAGTCTCCTTCAATTTGGATTGATTAGTTCTTCTGTCTTTCTGTCTCTCATGAGCTTAAGAGTTTTAAAGAATACAAACCTTTCATTTTATAGGCTGCCTCTCACCTTGGGTCTACCCAATGTTTCCCCATGTCCAGATTTGGGCCAGGCATTCTTGGCAAGAAATGTCACAGAGATGATCCTGTGTTCTTGTCAGCACATCACATGAGGCGTGTGATGTGACTCACTCCACTACCGGTGATGATCATCTTGTTCCCCTGGTCAATTGGGTGTCTTCCAGGGTTCTCTTCAATACACCCACTATTTCCCCCCTTGTAATCAATAAGCATTTTCAGGAGGTACTTCAAGACCAGGCTAACTGTACATCCTGCTGTACATCAAACATCCACCCACCAGCCTTAGCATCCACTGACTCCTGACTGAATTAACACTGCTGAATAGTGACTTTCTATTTTCATCGATCTTATCAGTTCAAATTCTGCCATCAGGAAGAGCTGTCCCTTCTCCATTTATTTATTCTATCACTATTTATTTATTCATTTATATTAGCACAGAGTCATGGATTCCTGTTTTATCCAACAGGTTGTAATCAGTTACTATCATTATTTATTTTTACACTCGAATTGTTCCAGTTTGGTCAGTGGGAGCTCCATCCAGCTGGCTCATGTGTCCTTTTGGCATGTTGGCCATAATGCTTTGAGTACCGTGCTATAAGAGATTCCAAGCTTACTGTGGATTTTCCCTGGTTTCTTTTACTGGAGGATGGGACTTAGAAACCAAGAACTTTTTGCCACTTGATGTGTCCATTGTTTCCAGCCTCTGAATAAAAAGAGTATGGTATATATGTGTGTATGATTTCACACCCATTTTTAAACTAATCCAACACCTCTGGAGTTCTTCAGAGCTTTCTTTCTTTCCATATTTGTAAATTTTTTCCAACACTAAGAAACCTAGCTCCCATTATATTCAATATTTTACTTATTTGCCCAATGTCCCTGTAATTAATCAATTCCCAGCCAGGATGCTGCCTCCTCGACCCTGTCATTTCTTTAACCTCTAACTTTTCTAAGAGAAAGAAAGGATAAGCGGTAGTCATGCATTCTTTTATTTTTAAAAAAGATTTTATTTACTTATTTGAGAGAGATAGAGAGCACAAGCGGGGGTAGGGGCACAGGGAGAGGGACAAGCAGACTCCCTGCTGAGCAGGGACACCCCCCCCCCGCCGACATGGGGCTCGACCCCAGGTTCATACCTGAGCTGAAGGCAGATGCTTAACCAACTGAACCACCCAGGCACCCCGGTAATCATACATTCTTAATGACACAGATTCCCCAAGTGTTGTGGCTGGAGAAAAATTGCTAAGAGATAGAGAGGTTTGGGGAACCACCTTGGTTTGCTAAGGCATCTGTACAGAACCTAGCTAGGAGTTGTCAGCCAATGGACTCTTCCCTCAGATCTCTGGTGATTCAGGGACCAACAGCCAGGCAGTCTCCATGTCTGCCTCTTTGGCATGAGGTACTATAAAAAGCACTGTCCCAATTGCCTAGAAGCCTATTTTCTAAAATGAGTAAGTTAGGAAAACACACAAAACCAGCACATCAAATACCATAGAGACGAATTCTTCTAAGCAGTTCTTCCTGTGCCTGCTTCTAATCTGGGTATAGCTGGGGCTCCTCGCTCTCCCCCAAACAGCCACCAGCTGCTTGCACTGCCGCTGGAAAAAGAGAGGTTGTGCTGGGGGGACTGTCATTAACAGAAAGCTGCAAACATATTAAGGTCTTAGGGAAAAGGTGGACTTTTGTTCATCATTGAGTCCTGGGTTCTCTGAAAGAATGCCAGGTGGGAAGTTCAACGTGAGTGATTGAGAACCATTACTCGAATTATCTTAGAGATTTTATAGGGCAGGCATCTCAAGCCAAGGGAACTGTGGGTGTAAAGTATAACAACCATGCAAACCTTTAAATGGTAAGGGACTGTGCTGTCAGTCTGAAGAACACTACTTGAAGGGGCTGTACTCTCTGCTGACTAGTTTGATCTCTATCTACCCGGAGAACACACTATAAACCATAATACAAAGAAACCTCCCTTGCCTGTTGACACTACCAGTCATGACAACCGGAATAAACACAGTGGAGAAATAGCTCCCTCGGTTTCTTTTCTTATATAGAAACACCCATTTTGTAAGAAAACAAATGTCACACGTTTGCTTCCAGATGGGAGGAAAGAAACCCATACCTATACTCCCTCAAACAGAGTGGTCCCTAGGCCAGTAGCATGGGCATCATCTGGGACCTTGTTAGGTATGTTCTGGAGCCCTAACCCAGATGTAGCGAAGCAGAAATTCTGTGGCAGGGCCCATCAGTCTGAGCTTTAACATCCCCCCCTCCAGGTGATGCTTATACACACTTAAATTTGATCGTCACTGCCCTAGATACTCCAGGTGTGGTGTTGGAAGGCCCTCGCTACCAATTTGCCATAGCCTTTGGCCCTAGGGTGGGTAATTAGGGAGCTCACTGCAGTTCTCCTGCACAGGATAAGGTTGTTTACGAGAGGCACGCTCGTTTCGCTATATTTAAGGCGCAGGAAGTTGTTCCTGCACGCATAGGTCTAGGGGTCGCTTCCCCTTTTGCCCCCCCCCCCACCCCCCCACCTGGACCAAGTCCGAGACGGGGTTGAATTTGAGACCCGCCAGGGGTCGCTGTCGCCCATCAAGAAAGACCGAGAGAGCGTGGCAAGCGGAGCCCAGAATCTTTGACATCACACTAAGCTCCTCCTTGCACGCACACATTATACACACACACAAACATATACGGACATACACAGACTTCGTACGCCCCTCTGGCCGCTCTCTCCCTCGGGCCCCGAGCCGTCCCCTCCTCCAGCAAGTGTGTCCCTGGTGCGGCCATCCGGCGAAAAGAGGAGCGCAGCGTCCCCAGCGCGAGGGAGCCCGCGCGCCGCAGAAGCTGCCGCCTCGCCAGCAGCCGGATCCGCTCGCCGAAGCGCTCGGCGGCGGCGGCGGCGGCCGGGACACCCTCGGCGGCACCCCGGGCTTCAAGCAGCCGCGCCCGCCCCCGCCGGGGCCAGAGCGCGGGGAGCCGCCACCCCGCACGCTCCTGGGGCCCCTGCCACCCCTATGAGAGAAGCAGAAGCCGCGCCAAGGAGCCGGACACTCGGCCGCTGGACTCCTCCGCAAGCCCAAGCGCCTCCTCCGCCCGCGCCCCTCCAGCGCCGCTGAAGCGAAATGCAACCGCCACGCTCCAGCTGAAAGGGGAAGGGGCCGGCGCCATCCCCTCGCTCGGAATCCGGCCCCCGCGGCGGCTGCGCGTCCCGGCCGCGGGCCCGCGGGTCCCCGGAGTGAACGAGAGGAGGAGGAGAAGCCGCCGGCCCGGGGTTGGCCGGGGCTGGGGAGGAGGGACGGGGTGGGGGGAGGGCGCGGGGGGCGGGAAGGGGGCCCCGGCGGATAAAGATGGCAAGGTCTCTCATCCAAGCGTGCCGCAGTCTGGCTCTCTCAACATGGCTGCTTTCCTTTTGTTTCGTGCATCTGCTCTGCCTGGACTTCACCGTGGCTGAGAAGGAGGAATGGTACACCGCCTTCGTGAACATCACCTACGCGGAGCCCGCGCCGGACCCCGGGCCCGGAGTGGCGGGCGGCGGCGGCGGCACCGAGCTGCACACCGAGAAGACTGAGTGCGGGCGCTACGGGGAGCACTCGCCCAAGCAGGACGCCCGCGGGGAGGTGGTCATGGCCAGCTCGGCCCACGACCGCCTAGCCTGCGACCCCAACACCAAGTTCGCCGCCCCGGCTCACGGCAAGAACTGGATAGCCCTCATCCCCAAGGGCAACTGCACGTACAGGGATAAGATCCGGAACGCGTTCCTCCAGAACGCCTCCGCGGTGGTCATCTTCAACGTGGGCTCCAACACCAACGAGACTATCACCATGTCCCATACAGGTAAGCGCCCCGGGCGGGTGCGCGGCGGGCGCGGGAGAGGGGGAGCCCCAGGGGATGTAGGCGCCGAGAAGGATCCAGCGCCTGCCTCCTAGCTCCTTTCTGGGAAGTCTGCGCGGAAGACGCTTCTCTGTTCTCTGGGCCTATTAAGTTTTGCTTCGCGTTACTTCGGGGGGTTTACAAAGCAGGGGATCGGGGAAAGGGGGGTACCAGAGAGTGTGTTCCGATTAGCATAGCGCCGCTGCGACGTGGGTTCGCCGAGGTGGGCCAACTTTTCCGAGGAGGATCTGGAAGGTGAAGTTTGGGAGCAGGGCTCGCATATTGCATATTTATTGACCGGCTCCGCACCTGTTTGGAACCGGTAGATCTGATAGCTCTGCACTAGTGTGTGCATCAGGTACATTCCTGATGCAGGCGTTTGTGTGTCAGGAGGCGGGTAGGGTTACTGGTCCTGGCAGCTCACCACCGCTAACTTGCTCCTTCAAGTCAGGTTTCAGCCCTTCGTGGGAGATTAAAAGCCCTCCCCGCTGGGATGACGCACGTCGTAAATAATAATAAAAGTCCTGTGCTCTGTGTCATTCGGAGAAGCTGACATGCAGGCACGATGGTAAATAATCCTCCACCAGCCAAAAAGAGCATGGTGGCCATAAAGTTATGCCTACTTTTCCAGTATTGCATTATCCTTTGCCTAATTGGGAGAGTATGCTGAAGGCTTGCTTTTTGGCGAGAATGAGGCGACTTCAGGGTAGAAAGAATAAGCTTTTCTTAATGATTGAGGGGTGCCAGGGCTAGAAATACATTACTGCCCTGAAACTCATATTTATTTATCCGTAGGCCTGACATACCACTGCTTTCGCGGTAGAAATAAAACAAACAAAAAAACCTATCCAGGCTTCTCAGCATAACCAGCTACTTTCAGCAGACTGGCCTCCTTGAGTTGGGCCCTCCTTCCCCAGAGGGGTTCCTGGGTTGAGGCTGTGGCATCCATAAGGGGGCGGGGGAGAGAAATGACAGATGCATTTTCTTACCGGAGTTGCCTGGTCAAAAATGTCATATTCTTTAAAAGCTAGGTTTTAATAAACAGTGATGCTACTGAAATGAAACACCAAGCTTTGGCTGTATTGTTGGGGGGTGCATTCTTCCGGACAAGTTTTCCTTCTGAGAGCTGTTATCACCTGTTAATGAGGTATAGCATTGGTCTGCCTCTGGTAATCAACACCAGCTGCCTTCAACAAGGAACCTGTCAAGCTTAACACAAACAGGTGAAATGGGGAAGGTTCAGTGCTTTTAACACATAGGCCAGAAAAATGCAGTCCCTTAATTAAGAGAGGCAGTTCACTTAGAAAAGCTATGATACAGCATTTAGGAGCACTTGCTATATTTTCTTGGAGCTCAGCAGTTTTGTAGGGGAAAAGATTGTACCCCAACATTGAGTCCTAGGAGCACTACTTAAACTTTATGATATTCAAGGATTTGGAGGACTATGGAGGAGCACTTTAGGTCATGTAAAGTATCTTTATAAACATTTAATATCTAAACTCTGACCTGAGGGGTTGTGAAGGTTTTTTTGGTTCTGTAAATTCCAAGAGGATTGTTAGCTAATTTGCAGGATTCCTTAAATGTTTCTCTGTGCATATGCGTGAAATGTTAAACTTGGCTTCTTTGAACAGAAAGAGGCATCACTTGTTCCTGTCTAAAAAGCTTCTCCAGAACTGCCAACACATTGGATCAATTAATGACTTGCCTGTTCTTAAAAAAAGCAGTAGGCTGATTTTCCATACAAATGATGCTTAAGACAGAGTGGGAGTAAACAGTTTGGTAATAGTTTGAAAGTTAAAAGCTAAAAAATGTAAATGAAATTCTCTATTATTCTGTTTCCGAAAATGTGTTAACGCGGTGTCAGCTAATGGCCAGGAAACTTCCATATTATCATTTGACATATTGCCCCCTTAGGACTCTGTATTCACTTTAGAGATTGCATTGATTTCTGCTACAGGCTCATTATTGAGGAGATACGTGACTGGGTACCTTGGCAGACCCTTCACTTTTAAATATTTCTTCCAAATTTCAAACACTGAGATCCCAGCACTGATCTCACTGTTCATGTCTTACCCTCAGCTCCAGAACTTGAAGGCTCTACTTTTTCTAGTTAAGTCCGATTTCTAAATTCATCTTAGGAAATGGTGTATATTTTAGGCTCAAATCCATGTTCTTATTTTGTGAACATGGGGTGCAACATGCCAGAGGATCCTTACATTTGTAAATTTTTAGAGTCTCCAAAAAGCTAACCAAAATCAGCCTTTGCCTGTTTTTCTTGTTTTTAAATCTCACCTCTCTAAATCCTTTATTTTTGGAACTGAGAGCTTTCAGGTGAGCACGTCAGAATTTAGTTATGTAACCCATCGTATAATATCTATGCATTTGGGGTGATATGACCCCAACACACCCACTACCTTGAAATTCAGTTAAACAAATCGGTTCCCCTTCCCCTTTCCATAGACTTTCTGATTTTTTTTTCTTGCTGAAATGATTTTGGGTTTCTACCACTTCTGCAGTTATAGTCTCTCATTCACAAAGACACGGATTCTCCTGGAGTACACTAGTAGTTTTACTTGGTAACCAGTTTTTAAAATCTTTTAAAAAATGACTGCTTTATGGAGAGAGAATTCACATTTACAAGTCACACTTAAGTGTGCAAATTAACGGCTCTTACTAAATTGAGAATTGTACAACCCTCACCACTAATTCCAAAAAGAAACCCTCTGTGCCTTAGCAGTTACTCCTCATTCCTCCCCTAGCCCTAGGCAACGACTAATCTACTTTCTGCGTATTTGCCTATTCTGGATACTTCATTTACAGATTCATTTACAGGTACAACTCAGTTCCCTGAGTTAGAGTTATGATGGTTTGACTTTATGATGGTGGAAAAGTGATACATATAAAGTAGAAACTGTACTTGGAATTTTGATTTTTGATCTTTTCCTGGACTAGCAATATGCAGCTTGATCCTCTGTAATGCCCGGCAGCCGCAGCCCCCTGAAGCTCCCAGCCACTCAGGAGGATAAACAACTGATACACTTAACAACCATTCTGTACCCACATAACCATTCTGTTTTACTTTCAGTGCAGCATTCAGTAAATTACATGAGGTCTTCGGGGCGCCTGGGTGGCTCAGTCGTTAAGCGTCTGCCTTCGGCTCAGGTCATGATCCCAGGGTCCTGGGATCGAGCCCCGCATCGGGCTCCCTGTTTGGCGGGAAGCCTGCTTCTCCGTCTTCCACTCCCCCTGCTTGTGTTCCCTCTCTCGCTGTGTCTCTGTCAAATAAATAAAAATCTTAAAGAGATCTTCAACACGTTATTATAAAATAGGCTTTGTGTTAGATGATTTTGCCCAACTGTGGACCAATTGTTCTGAACGTGTTTAAGGGAGGCTAGTCTGAGCTATGATCATAGGTTAGGTGTACTAAGTGCATTTTCAACTTATAATGGGTTTATAGGGATGTAACGCCATTGTAAGCTGAGGAAGATCTATAAACGGAACCAGGTAATATGCGGTTTTATGTGACCTTGCTTCTTTCACTATCAGTGCTATAGCATGTATCCGTACCGCATTCCTTTTTGCAAATATTTTGTACGGATATACCACATTTCATTTATTCATCAATTAATAGGCATCTAGGTAACTTCCGCTTTTTATGAATAATACTGCTACGAACGTTTGTGTCCAAGTTTGTGTGTGGACATGTCTCTTGGTTATACACATAGAAGTGGAATGTCTGGGTCCTTTCACAACCTTTTGAGGAACTGCCTGATTGTTTTCCAAAGCAACTGCATCATTTCACACTCCCACCAGCACTATATGGGGGTTCCATTTTCTCTATATCCTCATTAACACATATTTTTTACTTTGGCCAAACTGTTTAAGAGTGGTATCTTCATTGTGGTTTTAAACTGCATTTCCCTGGGGACTAGTAGTTTTAACATACTCTTGATTTTCTTTTTTTCCGCTTTTCATTTTGCTCTTTTTCTCCTTGCTAGCCATCACTTCTCCTGGACTTTGAGCTCATACATTTTCTGTCTGACCAGAAGAGAGATTAATAGAGAAAAATCTACCTCTTCCAATTAAAGCACCTGGACCACAGATTTTACATGTCCCCTATAAAAGGATGTGGGGAAGTGCCGGCTTTGTGCTTTAGAGAGCCTCTGCCTAAGTTTTCCTTGAGTAAAAGCTACGTGGGAATGTTGCTTCTGCCAGTGAGAGTCTCAGAAGTGAACTGTCAGGGGCAAGGTAAAGGCCCCGAGACCCCACTTATCTCCTCGGAGCTGGTCAGATGCCTGTGAACTTTCTTAGGCTACAGTCTGAGGAAAGTCCTATCAGAAATCTGTAGTGGCAGTTTTGGGAAGTGGTTAATTATTGTAACCTCTAGAGCCAACCACTTGGGTTTGTGTCCTCGCTCTCCTGCTTTCTTACTGTGTATCTTTTTTTAAAGATTTTATTCATTTGACAGAGTGCACACGAGCGGGGGGCGGGGCAGGGGGCGGCAATGGGAGAAACAGGCTCCTGGCCGAGCAGGGAGCCCACTGCGGGGCTTGATCCCAAGACCCTGGGATCATGACCTGAGCCCAAGGCAGACGCTTAAACGACTGAGCCACCCTGGTGCCCCTCTCACTGTACTTTCAGCAAGTGACTGCACACCTCAGGGGCTTCAGTTTCCCTCTACCTTGGTTGGTATGGTAATTAAATGAGTCAGTGCATGTACAGTGCTTACCTCTGTAGCCGGCACCTAGCAGTCAATAAATGTAACCCTTATAAGCATTGTACACAGTGGTACACAGAGTCTTAAACTGGATCATCAGACCCTTAGGGTGCACTGAGGCCCTGGGAAAGGTCGCTTTATTTCCCCTCTCCTGCTTTGAAGACCAGAGCGGTAGCGTTAATTTCTGTTTGTGGCTTCTGTGATTTGAGCCCGGGTATTCCAGCTCCCTCTGATGG